GTCTGTAATCCTAGATATTCAGGCTGAGATCTGAGGATTGCAGTTCAAAGCTAGCCTGGGCAGGAAAGTCTTTGAGACTCTTATCTCCATTTACCCATCTGAAAACAGGAAGTGGAGCTGTGGCCAAAAGTGGAAGAGTGCCAGCCTTGAGCAGAAAAGCTCAGGGACAGCACTCAGAAATACATGTATAGCAGAACTCCTCAAAGGACAAGAGGTAGCAAGCCAGTGGATTAATAGTAAAAGGATAGTTTGGGAAAAAGTAGGAATAAAGTCTTGAGATAACTATGTGCTTGACACATCTAGGGAATAGCAAAAGGGGGCTGGAAAGGTGGATCAGCAGTAGAGTGCTTGCCTTGTATGCATGAGGCCCTGGGTTCGATTCCTCAGCAACACATAAACAGAAAAGGCCAGAAGTGATGCCAAGTGGTAGAATGTTAGCCTTGAACTGAAGAGCTCAGGGACAGCATCAGGTCTAGCATTCAATCCCCATGACTGACCAAGAAAAGAAAATTAAAAAAGAAAAAGAAATAGAAAAGGGCCAGTGTGGCCTTCATGATGTGTGATAGGAGAACAAGATAAGGGAGATCAAGGCTGGTGGTCAAATCATGTAGGAGTCTAGAGGCTATTGTAAGGACTTTGGCTTTCACACTTAGTGTTGTGGAAAGTTTTTTGAACAGAGTAATAACATGATTTTGAAAAATAGTGCTGGGTTTGAAAAATAGTGCTCTAGATATTTTGTGAAGAATAAGTAAAATGGGATAGAGATCAAGAAAGTAATTAGGTCATAAAGAGTAAACAGTTCTTCAAATCCTTCTAAAGAAATGCCATTGTTTTCAGTAGACCACCATTTAGCTGTTCTGTATCATGTTTTCCTGAGAGTGTTGAGATTTCTGATAAGAGGAAGGATGAAGTGCATCCACACACCTAGTTCCTCTCTAGGTCTAGTTTGTTTTTGCCCTCTGCTGGGTGCTATAACAACTTAGAACTTGTTAGGTAATGCGGCCCTGGATAGGGGGAGATGACTATGGTAAGTTCTGTTGCCAGTAAGCTATTCAACTCAGTTGAGTAAACTCAATTTACTTGTCAAGCTAGACTTGCTTGAGTCATTCTTCAGCTTTTCAGTATTGTCCTTGTTCAGAGGTAGGACTTTTATGTCACCCTGGGAAATTCACACAGCAGGTAGCAATTTCCATAGTCCAAGTAAGAGTTGGGAGATGTACAGACTGTATGCAGATCATTATCTACAATGAAACGAAAAGCAGATTATAACACACAACTAGTGAAAATTGTAATGATGACTGGATAGTTGGTGATATCATGAAATTACTATATACAAATTACACATTAAAATTAATTGTCATATTGTTTGATTAGTTTATTCTCACTGCTGTAACAAAATATGTTTGAATAGTTTATAAATAGTTTATGAATTTTTATTTTCATAGATCTGCAGGCTGGGAACAAGATCAAGCCTCCAACAGACTGAGCATGAATGAGAGTCAAGCCCTTAGAAATTATACCTTCTATGTGTCCTCAAATGGCAAAATCAGCAAACAGATTCTCTAGAGCTTCTTTTATAAGGAGATTAGTCGCATTCATAAGAACAGAACCTTCATGACCAAATCATGTTCCCAACTGCCATCAATTTGATGGTTAGGTTTCAACATATGGGCTAGGGAAGGGTGACACATATATACAAACATTAATGGGGGATGGGAAGGTGGCTCAGTGGTAGAGCGCTTGCCTTGCATGCATGAGGTCCTGGATTTGATTCCTCAGCACCACATAAGCAAAAAGAAAAAAGCCAGAAGTGGCGCTGTGGCTCAAGTGGTAGAGCGCTAGCCTTGAGCTGAAGAGCTGAGGGACAGCGCCCAGGCCCAGAGTTCAGGCCCCACAACTGGACCCCCCCAAAAAAATTAATGCCATAGAATTGCATTTTTAACATATTTTGAAGCTACAAACTTGAATCCCTAAAGTCAGCCATGGAAGTGTGAAGGAGAAGCCAACTGTGAAATATTGCTGAGAGTTTACACATGGTGAGTATTGAAAATTAACCACTGGGATGTGAATTAGTGACTGTGACAAGAGCTATTTTTGTGGAACGTTGAGTAAAAGAAAAAGAGGGAACAGGAAGATAGTAAGTACAAATTCATATTTTGCAAATGATCTTTTGAGAACATAATGACCTGTAATAATGCACTAGTATAGGCAGCAGTAAAATGAATTGTCTTAGGAGTACCTCACAAAACTTAAGGCTTGAAGAATTCCTGTATCTAAAGGATAACCCATGTGAAAGGATATCAGAAGGCACTGAGAAGCAGTTCTGCATGCATTTGCCTATTATCAACTCTATGCTACTTAAAAGAAGGCAACAAATTCAGTGGGTGCTAAAGGAGAATCCTTAGTCAGCCCTTCAAGGGTCACTTGCTTCCTTCTATCCAAATGAGTCCGACTAGCCAAAAATCAACGGAAGTCTAGGAATTTGGTGGAGACACAGATACATACATGTTTCCAGAGACACAGATACTAGACTCTGAGCATGACTAGGTCATGTTGAAGATGGCCTACTGTACTTTCAACAGCCTGTTTTGTTTTGAAAATTCTAGACACGGGATGAGAGGGAAACACAGCAACCATTGATAAACCATTGCACCTGTTAAGAAGGAAGTGTAAAAACAATCCCATGGACCTTAGCTTGTCTAGGGAATTCGTGAGTCATCATAGGAGACAAAAGCACAGCATTTTAAATCTGACCAAATCAGAGATCACTGCCATCAGATGTCAGCTTTGCTAATCAAGATAGATTTTTTGTTCTGGCTATCCTAGAGGGTACAAGCAACACATACTGGCTATAGATCAAGAAAATAGAAGAATGTAAACTTGTTCATTTCCCCATCTCCATCCTCCAGGTTCTGTAGCTTGAAGTCTATTTTGACAAGTGGACAAGTGAATTTTGCGTGAGCTTTAATGTTTCAATATAATATTCTGAATTTCTGTTTACTAGAAGTGACCAGGAAAGTTTTCAATTTGATCAAAGGACTGGAAAAAGTGGAAAGAAAACATCCAAAATGCGTACTGCATGATCAGTAAACTGGTTATGCCAGTTGCTGTTATTGTTTTCTTTTTCAATTGTGGTGAAAACGATTCCCATTTTAACTACTTCAAGTACACAATTCAGTGGCATTAAAATGTTCACAGTATTTCTAGAACTTTTGCTTCGTCCCCTAAAGAAAGTCTGTTACCCTTTAAACAAGTCTCTGTTTCTCCTTTCCCTCAGCCCATGGTAAATGGCATTCCACATTCTGGCTGTATGAATTTGACTGTTTTAGGCACCTCATATAAATAGAATCATGTAATATTTAGACTTTGTGCATGATTTACTTCACGTAGCACAGTGTTTTGCAAGTTCATCCAAGCTGAAATGTGGTCTAGAATTTCATTCCTTCTATGAATAATCTCCATATGCATGATGTAGTTAATGCTCAATGTATGGAGGTGCTTAGAGTCTGTCGCTCCAGGGAATTTGGAACACGGGGAATCATCAAAACTAGTCATTTGGGATTGATCTTTTAGTTTCTACCAACTCCATGTTAGTCACCAGTGTCCAGGACAATGTGGCCGTGTGGCTCAGGACCACTGCCGCCTGTGAAGCCTTGCTAGTTACTGACTGTGTGTTCAGGGACAGAGGAAAAAGTAGCACTTGGATTGTGATCACGTTCAAAAGCTATATTTGACTTGTACTATATTTGCATTGTTACTAGGGAAAAGGCTCTGCGGAAAATGTGTGTTGTTCTAAAGATAGCACCTACCTCTCTATACCTGCCAGATTTAGGTTGAAGATTTGGGAGCACCGGCGGTCACCTCCTCCAGAGGACTTCAGCAAGCCTAGGTACTAGAACAGAATTTAAACATATTTAAGAGCAGGACAGGAAGGATCTGGGGTCCAGCCAGCTGAACCTCGGTTCCCTTCTAATGCCTTTTACTTCCATATTCTGGAACTTTGAGCGTGGCAGGCTTCCCACCCCGGGCCATTACAGTACACATTATTGTAAAAGACCTTGGACGTGCCCTACAGCTGTGGCCCGTTTATCTGTTGGCCAAGCTGGTTACTACCATTTCCCAGGCCTTCCCAAAGTATGACTTCTGTTGTTTATACGAAGTAGATGACCAGGGTGGGAATGCTTACAGCTTTCCCGGAAAGTGGAGAGGCCTAAGTGGGAAACTTCATCCAACCCCCTCAGCAGCACTGGGCAAGTCCAGTGCTCATAAATATTTATGAATGAAGACAGAACGACTGAAAGGATGAATGAATGCGGTGTCTTCAAGATGGAAGCTGCGAGGCGAGGTGTGGCGAGCCAGTGAGGTTGATCTATCCCTCTGCAATCTCGTTCTTGGGACTTATCCCCACTCGCACTCCGGTACCCGAGCTAGGGCCAGGGTGGAACGAGCCCGGTGAGAGGGGAGGGCGCTGCAGGGGAGCTCGGAACGCGCGTCCAATGGACGGTCTGTGCCTGAGGAGAGGGGCGGGGCGACGAGCGCGCCGGGAGGTGGGCGGTGACGCGCCTGCGGGGAAGGGCGGGACTACGAGACTGGGCGGAGGAGGGCGGTGACGTACCTGAGGAGAGGGGCGGGGCCACGAGCGCGCCGGGAGGAGGGCGGTGACGCGCCTGCGGGGAAGGGCGGGACTACAGACTGGGCGGAGGAGGGCGGTGACGTACCTGAGGAGAGGGGCGGGGCCACGAGCGCGCTCTGGAAGCGCTGACGAGCCTGCGGGGCTGCGAGAGCGGGCTGGGAGGGACGTGACGTGCCCGCGGAGAAGGGCGGAACTAGGAGATCGCGCCGGGGAGCTGTGACGCGCCTACAGAGAAGGGAGGGGCTACGAGTGCGTGCTGGGCGGGGCGTGACGTGTCTGCGGAGAGGGGCGGGGCTACGGGGCGTCCCGGGAGGGCGTGGGGCGCGAGGTGGGCGGGGAAGGCGGTTTGGCGGTCCCGCGACGAATCCTTCCGCACCATGGCCAGAGCCGCCCGCGGATCCGGAGCCGCACCCTGTGCCTGGCGTGCGGTGGGCCGCTCGTCCCGTTGAACCTCCCCGAGGCCGAGCGGCGCGGGCGCCGGGCCATGTACTCGGGGAACCGCAGCGGCGGCCAGGAGTACTGGGAGGACGGCGGAGCCGCCGGCTCGGAGGGTCCAGCGCCGGCGGGGACCCTGAGCCCCGCGCCCCTCTTCAGCGCGGGCGCCTACGAACGCCTGGCGCTGCTGCTGGGCTCGGCCGGGCTGCTGGGCGTCGGCAACAACCTGCTGGTGCTGGTCCTGTACTACAAGTTTCCGCGGCTGCGCTGTCCCACCCACCTCCTGCTGGTCCACCTCAGCCTGGGCGACCTGCTGGGGGCCGCGTGCGGCGTCGCCTTCACCTTCGTGTCCTGCCTGCGGAGCGGCTGGGTGTGGGACGCCGCGGGCTGCGTGTGGGACGGGTTTAGCCGCAGCCTCTTCGGTGAGTCGGCCTCGGGGGGGGGGCGCGGGAGGGCGGGAAGCGACTGCCCGCCACCACCAACTTCCCTCCCCGGGGCGGGACGGGGACCCCTGGCTCCGGCCGCCCGCCGGCCCGCTTCCGCTCGGACCCCGCTCGGGCCCCGCTCGGGCTCTCCTCCCGCCCCTGTTCCCGGACTGCCTGCCTTGTCACGTCGGTGCCGCCCAGGGCCCCTGTCCTCCCCCCCTTCCCCGATTCCCTGCCCCCCCCCGCTCCCCCGATCCCCATCGTCTTCACCCGAGGTGACTTCCCTGCGCTCCCGCGCCTCAGTTTCCCCGCCACGACGTGCCCGCGCCCCTCGGTTTCCCCGTGTGCCGGGGCTTCTCACTCGACGTGGCCTTTCCGTTTGGGGGAAGATAGCGAGGGGCCTGTGCAGCAGAGAAATGTAAGATACGGGGCGGGGGAAGTGCTCAACTCGTGGAAGTTGGAGGAACAGGAAGAGGTTGATCCGAACCCATTCTGGATCTCCTGAAACGAGGGATTGGAAATAGAAGCCATCGGCATTTGTTTTATCCTGCTGCTGGTTTAGCGGTTGTAAGGCACGGAATGTTTCCTCTCGTGGGAGATCTCTCCATTCACGTTAGCCGAGGGCAGACCGACAGATGCACTGCTAGGTATTTGACAGCTTGTTTTTTTTCCTCCTGTGTTTCATACTAGTCAAATGAAAGGTGACATTACAGGTGGTTCAGAGAATTCCAACTCTAGTGCATAATCAGTTGTGCAGCCAGTAGAGGTCTTTAGATCAAGCAGAATGGATCATACTACAGAGGGACCAATTAAACCAGTATATGATCAAAGATGTGATACTATGTAAAATAGGGAGCAAAAGTACTTACCACATGTCCCCCGGGAATTTCATTTGTACGAAGGTTTATAATCCAGATGGTTTCGTTTCTTTTTAGAACCCTGAAATCCATCAGCAATTGATGACAGCATTTTTTTCTTGGTCGATATTGGGGAACAAGGTCTTTGTTAACACATACATATATATTCACCAACCTCCTGTTTAAACATTATGTGTCATGGCTCCTTAATGTTTTGTTTTTTGTTTTTTGGTTTTTGACATGTCAGAGAAGTCGTGATTTCATTTATTTGACTTCTTCAATGATGTTTTATTCTTCCTTAAGCATTAGCCTGAGGATTTCTTTAGTTTTTTGGAGGACATTTCCAAAAATTTAAGTCTTAGGGAAGGGACCTTAGAGGTATGTAGGTGGAGACAGAAATGGCTATATAATTATATTCCTTATGTTAGTTAAAAAAATACCCAGATTTTGGCCATACTAAAGCTTTTTAAAAAAGGTAATTCCAGCCCCTACCTAAATGGTCATCAATCATGTTCACTGGGGGAAACAGGCATGCAAGTTTTTTTGTTTTTGTTTTCCTCGTGAAATCCTTTTTCTATTCTGGGAAATTGTTTTGGCACCTATGAGTTTCCTAACAAGGATATATTCAGTTTTTTAAATAAGGACTAGCAGTACCTAAGGTTGTCTTCACCTCATTCTGTCTGCTGGCCCTTCTGAATCTGCTACCCTCTCTGACTTTTACTCCTTCAGCATTTCTGCTTGGCCCATCTCACTCAGAAGCAAATTTTTTCAGAAGCAATTTTCTAAGATTGCCAGAAACACTCTCCTCACATGAGATGGTATTGTACCCAAGGGTAGCTCATTTTGTTTCACAGCAGCTTTATTTTTTACTATTGTTATTATTTGGAAATATTCGGATTTAAACTCAGATCCTCGCCCTTCTCAGCAGACATGCTATCTCTTGAGGCATACTATCAGCTCTTATTTGCATTAGTTACTTTTTGATAAGGTACCACATGTCTGTCTTTGCATGGTCCTCCTACCTATGCCTTCCACATAGCTGGATGGCAGACTCACACCACCACACCTCGTTCATTTGTTGAAACGAGTGCTCATTACCTTTTTGCATAGACTGGATTTGGAACTTTGTCTACCCAATTTCCACCTCCCAAATACCTGGGCTTATAGGTCACATACCATTATACCCAGCTATCAGAACCTTTAGTTAGTGCTTTGAATCCTCATTTTAAAACTAGAGGTAGACCTTCTGGAGTTAGAGAATCAGAGACTTGCTTACCCTCCTGGAGGACAAATCAAAAAAGTAAGATTTTGTAGTACTTAAAATCTTCTTAGCAGAGATTAAAAAGGTCCCAGGGTGTGCCTGTGGATTATGGTGAAGGACACTTCCCTTTTATCCCTAGCAAGAACCAACCACCCATGGAATTGGAAGGCAGGGGAGGCCTAAAAATCCTGAATTCCAGGGCTAGCTCCAGAGATGCTGGAGAGGCATGCCTATCAAATGGGAAGACCACACTGATCTTCTGACAGGAGAGTGGGTCCCACTCTTAATCCTGTGGCTGACTCACGGTGTCGACTTGCCCAACTGTTTAATCTCCACCGCCATCAGTTTCTCATTCTCACTCTGAAGTACCTAAGTGTCTAGATCTCAGAGAACAACCATGGGCTTGTATTTTGAGAACTTTTTTGATGTCTGTGGCTTAGAAATTGCTTAGTCTTAGTACTTAAGACCCATGTGCTTGTTTCTTCTTCCCATCCTCAGTCCTGACCCCTTGGTAAGCTGAGAATAAACACATAGCAATGGTTATCCTGGTCTTCATATCCTCTTCATACCCTGCTGGAAGAAGTTTACATGAGCAATTCAGACATTCTTATACACACATACACACATACAGACATACAGGTACATGTGTATCTATGTCCCTCCATTAATTTCTGTATACATAAGTATATATATCATATATTGTATATATATTATATATCACATACATATATGTGTGTACACATATGTACACACACACGCATATATATATATATATATATATGTACACACACGTGTGTGTGTGTAATGAGTAAGCCAGGCAACTGTTTCATCCTGGGCTCAGATCCTGGATTCTCAGGAAATAGAATAAATTAAATTCCTGGTATTTTTGAGACAGAGGCTTTGACTAGTTAGGGCTATTAGATAATCATTTCAGTTAAGCTGACCTTGTCAGTTTCATCGAAGTTCCAGCTGAATGGAATAGTCTTCTTGTATTGACCTAGATTTCCTAACGTTTAATGGTAGTGAAAATTAGAGGTAAAAGAGCTCTCACTGTTACTGGGAGAATGATCATCTTTAATGATAAACAGTAGAAAGGCCAGCACTGGGGATGTGTCCCGGGTGAGTATGCCCTCTGGACCCATGGCTATTCTACCTCTGGCCACGCTAAGCATCAAACGGACCTCCTACATATAGAAAATAATTTGCATTGTGGTAGAAGTAACAGAGAAACTTTTTTACTGCCCCTTCAAAAATAAGAATAGTAACATGGTGGTCTTGGCAGAGGGCATTTAGAATGATCTCTTTTCTTAGGAAGTTGCAGAGACAGTCTGGCAAAATGCAAATATTACCTTCAAATATTAGAAATTGGTGTTATTGAGTTAATGTTTTAATATATGAAACCAGAAAATTATATTTTTTTGGGGGGGTTCCGGTCATGGGGCCTGAACTCTGGGCCTGGGTGCTGTCCCTCAGCTCTTCAGCTCAAGGCTAGCACTCAACTACTTGAGCCACAGGGCCACTTCTGGCTTTTTTTTTCTTTTTGCTTATGTGGTGCTGAGGAATCAAACCCAGGGCCTCATGCATGCAAGGCAAGTGCTCTACCACTGAGCCACCATCCCAGCCCCCAGGAAAAAATTTTTTTAACTAGGAAATGTACATATCTACATTCAAATAAAAATGATTAGCAAGGAATTTCCACTCAGAAGGCCTATTCTTTTATGCATTTACTACTTAAAAAATGTTTTATTGTTATTATAAAGGTGATGTACAGAAGCAGTACAGTAACAAGTCAGGTAAAGTGTTTTTGGACAGTGGCACCCCTTCCCTCTCTCCAGTTTTTCCCTCCCATCTTCACCCACAAGTTGTGTTAGTTCATTTTCACCATAGGGTCCAGTGCATTTGTTCACCCTTTGCCCATCCATTTTTGTATGCACTTATTTTTAAATGTTATTTTACTGCAGGACTTCTTTTGTAGTAATCTGTAGTTCAGTCATGTAGTTACCATTAGATCCTTAGGGTACTTGGGCTGGAAAGGTCTTTTTAGCTATTCTGGAATCACATGCAGATTGTATTTGGCCACAGAAATATTCCTAATCACAATGTTTCCATAAATCATAATCTGTTGATCCACATGCTTTCTTTTGGTCTAAGCTCACAGTTGTTTGTAATTTCTTGAAATATTTTCTTAGAAGCAAATTCTTATGTTAATTATTTTTAGTTTTATGGGAAATTATCTTTTCCTTATTACCGTATTACCTTATTGGGAGGTTATATATCTCTTGTTCATTTCAAGATATAGAAATGATGTGAACAAGTATTTCATGATGTGGCTTTCTAGGCATTAGTATCTAAGTAACAAGTCATATACCAATGGATTGTAATTGCTGTTGCATGTAATTACTTTGCTCTTACATTGTTTACAATTGTATTTTCTTGAATTTTCTTCTTTCAGAGAAGAGTTCCAGTCACAAATGCATACGTAATGCAATTTGACATTTACTGCTAAGGTGAAATGCAGAAATGAAAACGACACATCCATTTTAGTATTCTCAGATGTGACTAGATGTACTTTATCATGTTTCTGTGCAACTGACTTATTACAAAATGTTTATAAAGGTTACAGTTAAATAGCTAGGACCTGCATACTTCTTGGATAAACTGAGACATCACAAGGAGAGAGATTTTGTTTCAGCTTAATCATACCTCAGAGGAGCCCTCAGCCTAGATCCATACACATTCCTTCAGCAGCAGCTGTCACTAGATACTTTGCCTCCTAGGATGGCTGACAGACTTCCCACAGAGTTTGACGTCGTGATAATAGGGACAGGATTGCCTGAATCTATCCTCGCAGCTGCGTGTTCAAGAAGTGGACAGAGGGTCCTGCATATCGACTCAAGAAGTTACTATGGAGGCAACTGGGCAAGTTTCAGCTTTCCTGGGTTGCTGTCTTGGTTGGAAGAACTTCAACAAAACAGTGACACTGAGGAAGAAACAATTGCTGCATGGCAAAACTTGATGGAGGATACAGAAGAAGCCATATCTCTTCAAAAGAAGGATGAAACTATTCAACATGCAGAAGTATTTTGTTATGCAAGTCAAGATAGGGTAGACAGTGTTCTAGAGACTGATGCTCTGCAGAAATATCCTTCCTCAGAGACATCTAGTACCTCCATTAAACCTCTAGATTCCACTAAAGAAAAGGACTCAGCACCTGTTACCAGCTGCAAAATGCCTGACAAACACACTCAGAAAAGTGGAGAGATTTCACTGGAAGTACCTGATGAAGAGGAGTTGATGGAGAAAGAAAAGCCGTGTGGTGATAAAATTTGTATACACAGAGTTTCAGAGGAAGAGAAAAATAAAAACAAACCTGCAGACGAACCCGAAGACAATGCTGATAAGCCAAAGAGAAATAAGATTACTTACCCCCAGATGGTTAAAGAAGGCAGGAAATTTAATATTGATTTGGTATCAAAGCTGCTGTATTCCCAAGGATCATTGATTGATCTTTTAATCAAATCAAATGTTAGTCGTTATGCAGAATTTAAAAATGTGACTCGGATCCTTGCCTTTCGGGAAGGCAAGGTAGAACAGGTGCCTTGCTCCAGAGCAGATGTTTTTAATAGCAAAGAACTTACTATGGTTGAAAAGAGGATGCTGATGAAATTTCTTACATTTTGTCTAGACTATGAACAGCATCCTGATGAATACCAAGATTTCAAGCAGTGTTTATTTTCAGAGTACTTAAAAACTAAAAAATTAACTCCTAACCTTCAACATTTTATACTACACTCAATTGCAATGATATCAGAATCATCTTGCACCACATTTGATGGCCTTAAAGCAACAAAAAACTTCCTTCAGTGTCTTGGGCGTTATGGCAACACTCCCTTTTTATTTCCTTTGTATGGGCAAGGAGAAATTCCCCAGTGTTTCTGCAGGATGTGCGCAGTTTTTGGTGGAATCTATTGCCTTCGTCATAAAATAAAATGCCTTGTAGTTGACAAAGGATCTAGACGATGTAAAGCAATTATAGATCACTTTGGTCAGAGGATAAATGCTGAATATTTTATTGTGGAGGACAGTTACCTTTCTAGGGAAATATGCTCCAATGTGCAGTATAAGCAGATATCAAGGGCAGTGCTCATTACAGATCAGTCTATTCTGCAGACAGATTCAGATCAGCAGATTTCCATCTTGGTAGTGCCGCCTGAAGAGCCAGGAGCTTGTTCTGTTCGGGTCACAGAATTGTGTTCATCAACCATGACATGCATGAAAGACACCTATTTAGTACATCTCACCTGTTCATCTTTAAAAACAGCAAGGGAAGACCTGGAGCCAGTAGTGAAGAAATTATTCTCACCTTTTGCTGAAGCAGAAGCAGATGAGGAAGGACTCAAAAAGCCAAGACTCTTGTGGGCTCTTTATTTTAATATGAGAGATTCCTCAGGGGTTAGCAGAAGCGCATATCATGGCTTACCTTCCAATGTTTACGTCTGCTCTGGGCCTGATTGTGGTCTGGGGAATGAGCATGCGGTCAAGCAAGCAGAAACACTGTTTCATGAGATCTTTCCAAGTGAAGAGTTCTGCTCTCCTCCTCCAAATCCAGAAGACATTATTTTTGATGGTGATGATAAGCAACTGGATGCTCCAGGAACTGATAATACAGAAATGGCCAAGCTAGAAGACGGCGAGGAAAGCAAAAACCTAGAAAATGCAGGACAACACCCTCAGACTTAGAAAAGTGCAACTTGGAAATTTTCTTCATCTTGGCATTGAGTATTATCACTTGAAGGACAGCTTCCATATGAGTAATTACAAGTGACTGTATGAGAAAGGCCTTGCAGATGCCGCTAGCTGTCTTTGAGACAGTGGACATTGTATGTCTTAATTATCAATTACTGGATTTTGAACTTTGTTTCAGCTTTTTTTCCATGATTCAGTCTTAAAACAGAGTTAGCTTTATTTTACTATTGAGTGTATGTGTGAGAGTTTCATCTGAACATTTTGGGAAGGTAAAATTGTACCTGCTATTGATATTCATCATCTGTAGAACAATAAATAATGTCAAAGGCATACTTCAGTTATGTTTGCAGCTCTACCACTTGTTTGAATAGCAAAACACATATACAAATAGTAAATTATGTAAGCTTTTTATATAGAATATGAATAAGTGGACTTTGTAGTAAGAATAGCAGTTAATACAAGTGCCAATATGACAAAATGCAGTTGTCTAATTGTTGAACAATTAGCTTTGCATGATCCTTTATTCTTTGTGAAGGTCTGATGTTACATTTTGCAGGTGATTTCATCCTATTGACCCCTTGAACTAGCGAGGCAGTGATATCAAGATAGCCTTCAGCTTTACAAACACATTTAGAACTCATTTAGGGGGAGAAAAATTGCAAAGAAAATCTGAAGGATAAGATTAGTTCTGCAGAGCCCTGCCTAACAGCTAAAATAGCTTCCAGTAGATAACTGAGGCCAGTATAGATTAACTGTTTTCAGGCAGGAATTACAGCATAAGACTTGCAAATAGGAAACATATTCAATGGCCAATAATTTTCTCAGTGTTTGCCATGTGGAGGAGCAAACATTGGTACCTTGTCATATTTTCATAATTCCCCAAACCCTTGATCTCCCACCAACTTTTTGGTGTTAGAAGATTTAAGAGTGTAGATTCTGCGAAAGAAAGAAAAAGCACCTGTGACAATCAGTACCTAGAGCTGCTGTGGAAGACAAGTAGACTCAGGATTTGTAGCTTTCTGAATCAGAAGAGAATAAGATTAATTAAAACTAAATAATGTTTTAGGTCTATGTATCTCTTAAAGCAGAATTTGGCCATTTTAACAAAATAGTGCTCTTTGGTAACATCTTCTGATATGAACCCTGTGTTACAAAAATTTTAGAACAAAATATGTTCTTGATACACGCTCATTCAAAATAGAAGTATTTTTGAGAAAATGAAACAAGACAGATTTAAGTAAATGACAGCATACCAAAAATAGAAAAGCGAACAATCAGTATCATTGTTTTTAAAATAATATTACTGGGTAGATTCTAAGATTTAAATCCACCAAAACAACTGAAATGCTTGAAGTGTTCTACAAAACTGTAAATGAAAAGAAATGATTAGTCAGGCTTGGTAGCATATGCTTCTAATCTCAGGTATTCATGAAGTAGGGGCAAGAGGATCTCAAGTTCAAGACTAGTCCTGACAAAAGTAGCAAGAAATTGTCTCAAAACCAAAATAAATGGGGGTGGGGGTAGAGGTCCTGGGGGCATAACTCAAGTGGTAGAGTGCTATGCCTGGAAATCCATGGGTTCAATTCCCAATACCACAATAAAGGAATGAGAAGGGGGGAGGGATGGTAAAGGTAATTCAAACCTACTAAAAAGTTTTTCATTATCACAGATTACGCATCATAAATTGAGAAAGAGGTAAATAGAGAAATTGCAAAAGATAATACAGTCATTAATAGCCAAATGATGGAATCAACCTAGAGGTAGAGCTCACAAGAACAGATGAATGGATAAATAAGTTATAGAATGTTAAATAAACAACAAGAAAATGAAATAATCAGATTTGGGAAAACATCTTGAGGACATCTTACTGAGACAAGCCAAGCTTCAAAAACAAAATAGGTGCTTTCACTTGTATGTGGAAGCTAGACCTAAAAGACATTCATACTCATAGGCATATACATAAGTATAAATATCCATATCGATAATTACTAGGTAGAGTGCAGAGACTGGAAAAAGGAGGATGAATAACTAATACATCTCACGTGTATATGAGGGCAATACAGAGAAACTCATCAAAAGCTGATGATCAGTAGAGGATTAGAGGGAACAGAAATAGGTTCTGTGGGCAGGTGGGGACTAATGGGAGGTGTGTACCTGAGAGGAGAGTAAAAAAGATTGAGTACTAGCAAAATAGACTAGTCACAATTATGAAAACAGAACAAGGAAGCATGCTGGTAACACTTTTTCTTGAAAGGTACAAGGAGTGTGATGATGGTGGAAATGAAATTGCCTGGAATATAGCACTAATGTGCTTAGACATGAAACAATGAAATTCCCTGCCCTGTATAACGTAAACAAGCAATACAAAAAAGATTTTATAGCCAAATGTAATGGAAATCAGTAGTGTAGAGTAGGCCAAATTTTCTTGTTTTTCAAAACTAAGAAAACTGATCTGTTACTGGAAATCAGAACAGAATAACAAACTGGAGATTGAGACAAGTTATAACAAGTAAGGGACATTTAAAAATGCGAGCAGTTCCTATGAGAGACAATGGAAGGCAGTGAACGGGGACACCTTGGGTCACTCATACTTTGACAATCCTGCCTACCATTTTGCCATCTATAACGTAAGTAATATGTACCAGAATTATTGTGAGGGTTAAGATTAGATAAGTATATGAAACACAAAGAACTGTATTGTGACAGTATGCAATACCATTGATACAATGCCGTTTATAATTCCAGTTGGATGTTTCATGTAACAATAGAGAATTGGCATAATCTAGGAAAGTAAACAGGCACAGACATTTTTTTAGTTTAAGAGGAAGGTAGGAACTTTGCTCTTTCAAGTCCTTAAAGCATGCTATTAAGCAATCTTTCTAAGTTCTGTGCAGCTGAGTAGTCAGTTGTAGACCAATAAGCCATTTGGAAAGAAGTGGTAAATAACTATTAGAAAGAAATAGCTTGCTAGGTGCTAGTGGCTCACTTCTGTAATCCTAACTACTCAGGAGGCTGGTATCTGAGGATCACAATTTAAAGCCAGTCTAGGCAGGAAAGCCTGTGAGACTATCTTCAAAGTGGAGCTGTGGCTCAAGTGGTAGAGCATTAGTCTTGAGCAAAATTGTTCAGGTACAGCACGGGCTGTACTCGAGCACGGGCTCTTGAGTCCAAGCTCTAGGACTAACATCAAAAATGAAACAACAACAACAACAAACTAGGTAGCTGGGTGCTGGTGGTTCATGCCTGTAATTCTAGCTACCCAGAGGCTAATAACTGAGATTGTGGTTCAAAGCCAGCCCAGCAGGCTGTGAATCTCCAGTGAATCACTAGAAAACTAGAAGGTGCTGTGGCTCAAAGTGGTAGAACTTTGTCCTAGAGTGAAAAAGCTCAGGGACAGTGCCCTGAGTTCAAGCTCTACAACCAAACCAAAAAGCAAAACAAAAAAATCTTAGGTAGATCCTTGTGGAAATACGATAATGTGGTTTCTTCTGGATACACCAAATATTAAGTGTGAAAGTAAGACTACTGCTTATATCCTCATAAGGAACTTCATAGCAATGAAAGTGAGCTCTGCAGATGAAAAATACTGACAGGGTAGATCAACTAAAAGGGAAATGAGAGCTAGACCCTACATTAGAGAAAATGGGGGAAAAATTGCATTACATAGCACTTAAGAATCCTGAAGGTTTTATACTCTTTAGTAAGCAGATTTATGAAGGGTTAGGTGACAATGAGAACATACAAATAATGATTCAATTAATATTAACGTATAAGTTTAAATAACTGATCTATCTAGTTCATGCTATTGGGCAAAAAGTTAAATCTGCATGTGGCTTATAGGATTAGCATTGTACATTAGCAGTCACTTTAAAGAACTATTTAGAAAACTATCATGAGCTCTATAACTGGTCTTTGGACATACATACTCAAATAGGACATGCTCAAAAACATATTTAAAAGAAAAATGCTACTTGTGCACAGATGTTTCTAGCAATATCCCTATGCATTTTTTAAATATTGGTGGAGAAATGCATACATTTTGGTGTGTTGCTCTTGCTATCATATACTGTCATATAGCTACTAAATGATATTAATATATATAGCTGGATGCAAAAATGTTTAAGAATAAAAAAATGTTAATTACAGCACAACTTATCGTTTCCTGATTTTTTTCTATAACACATTAGGTCTCTATATTAAAGGCATCAGAAGACATGTGATTACACTTTAACCTAATGAGTTCTTTTTTTGGTAAAATATTGAAGGAATTTACAATAAAAATAAAAGATTAATTGACAAAATGGTCTACTGAAATGATGAGAAAATTACTGGTATTTTGGAAACTTGTACTATCAATAAAATTCTAAAAGTTAAAAAGTCACAAAGAAAATTTCTAAAAATGTGTAGTAGAAAGTTTATACCAGTTTGGTAGGAAGAAATTGTAGGTCTAGATAGGCTTGTCTTTTCTCATTGCCCAACATTAAGGAATAATAGCAGTAACTGTAGTAAAGGATTCCAGATGTCAGCATGAAGACATCCTATACGAGCTGAAGCATGGCCTCAAATCCAAAGTCGTTCAGCAGCCACATTACAGGGAATCTTGAGGCCCAGGTCATTGAAAGTAGGACTCACAGGTGCTAAGCCCTGCCCTGGGCAGAACTTGAATCTGAGGATGCAGGCAGGCCCCTTCTTCCAGTCAACCTGAGAGATTCAAGTCAAGGCAACTTAATTCAACAGACAGCAGTTGATTATGAACTGGCATTAAACAAGAGATTAGAAAACGCATTGTGCACTGGTGGCTCATGCCTGTAATTCTGGCTACTTAAGAGGCTAAGATGTGAAAATCATTTTGAAGCCATCCTGGGCAGAAAAGCCTATGAGGCTCTTAGCTCCAATTAACTGGGGGGGAAAAGTTGGATGTGGAGGTGTGACTCAAATGGTAAACATGCCAGCCTTGAATGAAATAGCCAAGCAAGAGCTCAAGGAGTTCAAGCCTCACTACTTGCACTCATGCAGGCGCACATGCACACACACAAAGTATCGAGATTACAAATAGAAAAATGACTAGAACAAGTTCTCTGAATCTCCTGAGTCGGTTGAAATGCTTACTTTAAGGTAAGGGATTTTTTTTTAACCTTAGGAGCTACCTATCATTTTAATTGTAACTATCAATACTATCCTTAATGAGCAATCTCTGGCTTATGATACCTTGTAACTTGTGATATTTCTTTTGTAGGTGCCCAAACCTTTTATAACATAGCTGCTTAAAGGGTTAAAAAACTGAGTTGGTTAACACTTCCTAAAATCTATTTCAGGCAACATTCAGAAAAGGCCCAA